CCCCCACAGTCCCCTCCCCTCTCCTCTAGCCCCCTGACCCCTTACTTACTGGCAGGGGAGCCTGGGTCCAGCTCCCTGCTGCTGGCACACTGCCTGCCCTAACAGGCAGGCAGCATGCTTCAGCACCAGAGCGAGGGCTAACCATAAAGACGCTCTGGCACCCAGAGCATCTCTATGGAGGACCCAGCCTCTGGTTGCCTCAGGGCACAGTCCCAGACTGTGGCCTGCCCACCTTTTTTTCTGTGCAGGTTTTTTTGACCCCTGGATATCCAGGGGTCTAATTTTGCCCTCACGCTGCAAACTTGCAGCACGGGGAACATTTTGTCATTCCTGCATGTGCCTCTTGCAGTCTCTCAAAGGGGTTTGAGACGTTGCAAGAAGCATATGTGGGCTCATCTGGACACACCCAATGGTAGCATTTTATATTGATATTGCCTTGAGTTTGTACATGTGTAGAGAGCTACATGATGCAAGGAGTAATGAGCAGGCTCACGACCTGTCCAAACACTATGGGATCCATCAGGAAGACAAGATTCCTGCATACCTGTTAGGACATTGTCTATATACTTGCTTACACACTAAACTTTTCCCTAAAGTTGTGGATAATGATGCATTATATAACCCAAAGCAAATCTACTCTATTTTACTGGGTTTTGTTAAGTTAGTGATTCTCAACCACAGTTCCATGGCACCCTGGGGTGCCTTGAGATCCTTTCAAGTGTGTCATGGGATGCCATGAAATATTAGCACTCCTAGGTGTGCAAACATGATTCACATGATAAATCCAGAGTTTTCATATAGGAATTAGTGTCAAAAACATTCTGATCTGCTGTGATCTTTCTGAATTCTTTGCAACATAAGAATTGCTCTATTATTTTTCTGTAGTCAAAAAGAGTGAAAACTAAGAACTGGATTTTTTGAGGGGTGCCTCGAGTCTAGCAAGGGGTGCCTCAAGTCTAAAAAGGATGAGAACCACTGTGTTAACTACTAACAGTTTTTCCTAAAAAAAATTTATTTGTCAGAATACTGTAATAACTATGGTTACACATTTTCCATTTTGTAAGTTGAATAGACCAGTAAATGAAAAGGTACTATGGTTGTAGCACAAATGAAAAATATGACAAAGGGCACATTCAATTAATTAAATAAAAAGTACATAACAACTGTCTGAACTGCAGAGCTAATGTGAATTTATGAATGATTCCTTACCACATGGACCTGTTACAATATCTCCCCACGTTAGCATTAGTGAGGCAAAAAAGCTTCCCCATATGTCCTAGCTAAAGTCCTCTTTAGAGTACTACCAGCTTTAAACAAGAATGCCAGGACTCTGTAGGCCAGATTCTTCCTATTTAGGCTTGCCATGCTGTCAGGTAAGGATTGTTGCCCCACAGCAAAGATCTGGAGGTATATTGCTGACACAGAGATTTCTACTCTATTCTCGCTTCCTCTGCTGGCATAACAAGGACATAGGGATACAGTCAGAAGAAAGAGGGAACGTCTGGGTTACTTCTACATTGTGCTGATTCTGATGTGGTAATAGGATGGGATGGAAATGGGAACATAGAAGGGTCAGAATATTCTTATGCAAGGACATTTTTGGAAATTTAAAATGAGATTATGCTATGATCAGCCCATGACTCCACACCCTTACTACCTAGTCCAGAATCTGGAAGTACCAGAGATGTGGAGACTGTTCAGAGGGAATTCCACAGAGTCAGAAAGGAGAGGAGATGATACCAATTTCACTTCCACCTCCACTTTGGTTTTACCCAAAAGAGCACAGCTCCTGCCCTTGTCATTCTGTCCACTTTATGAAACAGTTACTGGACTCTATAGAAGGTGTTATGCAGCATACCTCTCCTTTTCTTGCTAAGGAGTCTATTTGCCTTGGAGTTCAGTGGGCCTTTTTCAGAAGAGACTGCACCTGGAAGAAATCTAGTGGATTGTTATTTTGTCTGTAGACATGTTAAAGCCTCATTAAACCATTCAACAGTTGTTTATGCAACAGGAAAGAAAGCAGACACAAAGACCACATTAAATTGTTCCTTGGAACAGAGCCTTCATTCCTTCTGTCTGTTCCCTGCAAAACAGCAAGCCCAGCTCTACATCCATGTTCCTGTTGCTGTTCAATAACTAGGCATGATAGAGGTAGAGCTTCTATATAATGAGTTATAAAGGCTGTTTTTGGGGTGTGTTTAGTATGATAATGTTGGGTTAAGTCAACATGAGACTCTCTGGAAGAATAGGTTGAAAGGAAAAGAATAGCCCCAGAGAAAACACCCATCAGAAACCACTGGAAAATTGTTAAGAGGCAGCACCATGATGATTAGTTTGAGGGGTTTCCTTCCTCCACAGCCAGCCTACAAAACTAGATAGACCATAACCACAGCAAATTAAAGGACAATGACAGGAAACAAGGACATTTGTTTGGAAAAATCAGATTGAGACCCAGGGGCCCATTGGGAGTTCCTGAAAAGTTAGGCTTGCCTAGGTCAGGGTGAAGGAATGGCAAGCTTTGGAGTATGATAGAATTGCATGTAGATTGTTATTTAAAACATCCATTGTCTTTGAAAGCTTAAGTCCAGATCTTTTTCCACCCACTGGATGTCTAAGTCTTATCAGCTGCTTATCTAAAAAACAAGGGTGTCTTTATATGTGCTCTGTGGTGTGTGTGGGGTGGCATTTGATGAGCTTTAGTTCAAGCACTCTCACTGCCATTTTGAAGCATGAGGATGCTGAATACAAGTACATTACAAGTGATGCTGAGGTACAATAGAGGTGGAACTTCTCTATCCAGGCACCTATCCAGGAAGACTTACTGCTCTGCAGAGCCAGACATCATTTTGCATGCTCTCTT